CTAACAGCTAACAGTGTGTCTTTTCTTTTGACTTGCTCAAATTGAGAACTACTGCCTGTGGCAAATGTAATGGGAAACTACATGATTAATGCTCTCACACATACACCCCTTTAAAGAGGAGAAAATGGATAGTTGTCTTTAGAAGGAAAGTTTCTCAAAGAGTCCAGACTGACATGGATTCAGAAAGGGGGACTGTGGCCTTTGGAATTAAGATTAGAGGCTGAATGAGGTTAGCCAGAGGTGCTAAATGATTACACAACACTGGCCCTAAAAACTTGAAAGAAGCTAGGTCCAAGAGCCCCGCCCTTCTCCCGGCAAACTTGAGTCTCAGAACTCATTTGCTTCAACATTAAGGAATTCTTGAGGAGGCTTCACTTTCATAATGCTTATAGTTAACATGACGACTTGTATTGAAGATCCATCCTTTCACTTAAGGTGTTTTTAAAACTCACCTTTCTATCCGTTTCCTGGATGTGATGAGAAACATTCTTTCTCCTGTAGTTCAGGTTCCCATTTTACTTTGAAAGTCATTTAGGTTTCACCCAGTACTTTGGAGTTGAACTGTGCCATGAGACGGGAAATGAAGAAACATTTACAGATATATCTGCAACAGCTACTTTAGAATGGCCTCTTGTCCAGATTTGCTTGAGTAGGAAGAGATGTAGTTCTCCCGGCATAGCAGTAGAGCGAGGACTGGACAGCTCTGTGGAGTAAGGACATAGCTGTCTGCGGGTGGAAGACGCTGCCATGCCTGTAACCCTGGGGTCATTTGGCTTTCTTTGTAAAAATACATCAGCAATGCTGGAAGGGTAGGTTGGCTCAACCTGTCTAAGTGTGTCTAAAACAGCCAGATTATTTGGGAGTCAGGAACGTAGTTTCAGGTCACAAAGCCCCAGTGAGGTCTAGGCTCAGCCAAGAAGGGCCCCCTTTCTCAGCCACTCACTCGATTGTTAGCAACACTCGGTTCCTGTGTGTTTACAAGGATCGTCAGTTTCTCCTGATGGGAAGTTTCTGTGTGGTATGCATCTCTCCACTTTGAATATCACATCACTTCTTGTACTTCGAAGGAAGGATGTCTGCAACTTTTGGAACATGACCCCAGAGATGACAAGCCCTGGCCTTTGATGTGTTCTGTTCATTAGTAGCAGGAAACTAAACTCAGCCCACACTCAAGGGGATAGGATTACAGAAAAGAGCTGGGAGACTGGGGGGTTTAATAGAAGTCTCTTGGGAACATTGGGACCCATGGAAGAAGCTACCAAAGTCAAGCATGATGCCAATGCACTCTTGCTATGTCTAGATTGATAGACTCTTAGTGACCGGAGGTGTGAATATCACGTTTGCATTGCTAAATGTAGTATTTATAAGTACTAACTTGGGGGCCAGGAATGTGGTATCTCATAGGTGCCACATTGACTAAATGTTGAGCCAAGTGTATTTGAATATCAAGAGACCAAGGGGATGAGGCTACAGGAATGCTTAAACTTTGGGCCTCTAAAACCATGAATGAAGCCGGGACCCTCGCGGCCGTGTTAGTATTGTACTCCAGAGTCGGAGGGTCAGGGATCTCGGCTTGTATTCCATTGCGTGCCGCTGGTCCTTTCCAGGAACAGGGCCTACAGACAGGTTCTCAACATACTCGCTAAGATGGTAGAATGAAAGGTTCTGTTCGCTTTACTGGTTCCTCTATCCCTACTCTCAGCTTTCTGACTCCAGATGTGCGTGTTTATTAGTGAGTGAAGAAATGGGAATTCATCTTAGATGGAAACTGTTTAACTCCCTCTTCTATTTTTAATTCCAAGTTCTGTATTAGAAAGTCAGTGTACCTTTATAAGAGAAATCCGGGTTTTAGTCACCTGCTCAGGTGAATGATTCACAGGTTGCCTCGTCTCTGGCTTGGGAATTTAGGGATGAACGTTTTAATTCTTTGGCTCCTCTTGCTTGTGACTGGCTCCTGGGGAAACCATAAAGCCTCAACAAGACACTGGCACACTTGCAGACAAAGTGAGGGTTCCCTGTACGAGGCTGGCCTGGTCTTCATATGAACATCGGTTACCACAGGACTATCGTTAATATGTCTACCACAGCTAGAGTACACACAACACAAAGGCAGGAACGATACTTCTTACCATATATATATATATATATTTTAACTAAAGTAAGGTTAATGGTGGTTGTTGCAGAATGGTGTTTTTTTTTCTGCAGTTTGAGGCATCAGGTTTACCTCCCTTCCCTCCCACCCCCCCCAGAGTCCTGGCATATTTGAGGTTTTCAATCTCTCACTTTGCTTCTATCTTTTCCTTATTAGCAATCCCAGGAGGATTTGATTTCTGCATTGACTTGTGGGACTATTACATATTTTAATTAATATGTCATTTTGTGGTTTTAGTGTTCTGCCCTCTGCCATCTGTTTCCTTATGTCAAGTAGAACACTTTTTAACAAATTACCTAGTATCTTCTAAGACTACTAATGGCTGACCATCTATATTTAAAGTAGGATAAATCTATCCACCCTCTGGAAGCCAAGTACAGGCTGCAGAAATCACAAACTTAACATGGAGTAAACTACAATCTCACCTTTAAAAAAATAAATTCAATAAGTGAAGGGAATTTGTTCGTTGTTGTTAATGCGTGGGATATATTTTTAAGTTTTTTTTTTTTTTTTGGTTTTGTGTTTCAGTGTGGAAAAAAAAAGGAAGTCAGGTGACTAGGGCCTAGCAAAGTCACTCCTTAGGCTGGGCACTCCATAGAGTTAGGATTGTACTCCATGGTCTGGGTAGGTCTAGAGATCGTAGGGTTGGGCTGCTGTAGCTTACACATGAACTTACAAACTATATCATGCATGAATATTATTTGTCCACAAATGTTTCGAATGATTGGACTGAAATAGTCAAACAACATCATACGGAGTCAATCATCCCTATCCCTGTTACAGCTTTCTTGGTGATAGGTGACTGATGGGTGAGACTGTTGAGAAATGAACCTTTTCTTTTCCATTTTATGGAAGTATGCTCAGTATCTAATTCACGGAAGGTTGCTGTGTGTCCAGTAGCAAAGGCTCGTGTCTCTGTTTGTGAGCTGATGAGACCATGCTCTAGTTATTCTTTGCTGTCGCCATTTGCTATTGTTTAGTTTCTCTGATACATTCTACGTTAATTTACTTTTCCTTAACAAAAATCCGAAAAACCTCCCTGAAGTCCCAAAAAAGAGACTCTCCACGAAAACAATCCCATTTGTTACTGTGTTGAGCCTGCTTATCTTGGAGTATGAAGTTAAAATTCGTCATTTGCATGTGACCCATGAGTCGAGCTCACAGAGATTGAAGTGAGTTCGTCTCGGCTCAGGAGAGAGCAACATGCATGTGGCGCTTCTCCCAAGACCTCGTGCCTGAGACCCCGTGGGCTTTGAACTGGAGTCACGTGTGTGTGTATGTGTGTGTGTGTGTGTGTGTGTGTGTGGTGTATTTGTAGGATGTACATTTGCAGTTGAGGTCCACAGGAAGGACACCATTTCCTGGATCAAACCATAGAATGCAAAATATTGTGCCCTAAATAACACACTCATTGCTGTTAATGTCAGCAGGGGGAGTCTTCTCAACTTGGATATAATGAGAGCCCCCAGCAAAGTCAGCTGTTAACACTCCTTAAGTGCTTGTCAGGGAGACCAGGGGAGATGCAGAAGGCCAAAAACATCTTTTCCCTGTATTCTGCCTTAAAATTAAGAGTTTCAACAGGTGTTAAATCGTGACAGTGGAGGTCCTTTAGTATCCCACGTCCTTTAGAAGCTGAACTTGAGTTCTGCGGGGGGGATTTGTGTGAATCTGTGGATCTGTAACTCCACAAATAAGGAAGTTCATGCAGAAGAACTCTGGAGCTTGACTCCTGTCATCTCAAAGTGAGCAATTTTTTGAGCTCCTCGTGAAGAATAATGTGAAGATAGAAGAGAGAGGAGGCAGATGAAATGCTGGGTGCCTCTTTGTCACTTTCAGTATTACCAAACTAATTTTAAGCCATGTGCACTTTGATTGATGTCAGCTGCTTTTCCGAACAAAGAAACCACTTGAAGCAAGTCCTCGGGGAAGAAAGTATGTGGCTCTCATTTCTGCGATTTTTGTCATTTCTAGAGAGCATTAGTAAATACATGTGGTCGTTGTGGCTTTGACCACCCTTCAAAATCCCTTTGACACTGCCCTGTGAGTACCAAGTGGAGATAATCTTACAAAGTAGGGAAAGTTTGGGATCTTATCTTGAAGAGGGGAGGAAAGTCTCTCCCTCAGATGACTTATAACTTGAAACATGTCGTGTTTTAGTGAACCCCCTTTATTAATGCCATCCTTCTCTGTGGAAAATTAAAAGAAGATAAATGTGTTATTACAGCAGCGACCTTTCTCAATAGCATACCGTGCTATTGAGCTTACAATAGCATGGTGGAGTCACGGGGCTGGGTTAGTCATATAGAAAGCACAGCCAAATTCTGAGTAAAACCTCTAATTGAATTACCTGCAGAGTACTGACAGACAAGCTTTCAGGACAGACAAAGCTCTGCTTTCCCCAGCAGAAGTAGGTCATGTTGAAGTCTGCCTTGTGACTGCCTGTTACTGGTTTTGACAGTATTCTCACTGTGGGGCTCTGTTGGGCCCCTTTTCCTGTGGTTGAGGAGGAGCTGTTCCTGAAGCAAGAGAGTTCAAGCATTATCCTCCCGATTTAGAGAAAACTGATAACAGATCAAGCTGAAGGGAAGTTCCCTTGTAATAGAAGTCCCAAGTGTTTTTTTCTATAGATTACCACGTTCCTGCATGATTCTTCTTTTATTATACTGGGAAAAGAAAATAGGAGCATGGAAGTCACCTTCCTCTAGCATTTGGCTTAGTCTGAAAAGTATTATTTGTTTGGAGTATGTCTTGGAAGAGTATACAGAAACCATTTAATTGCATGTGAAAAACAAAGAATAATGGGTTGTTGTTCTCTCCTTTCTCTCTTGCCCTGTTGTCTTACCCACAGCGTCTGCCATCCCAGACAATGGAAGAAGGTCCTGCCTAAAGCTCAAAGTCTTTGTGAGACCAACAAGTAAGTTCACAGAATGAGTTTCAGAGGGTCCCCTCACTGCGCATGCTTTATCCGTGGTCTGGTTCACAGCGGTAAAATTTTATTTTGTCTTATTTTACTGTTAAATCTTGTGTGATATCTGTTTTGTACATTCACATCCATGTTTTAGTTTTCATCGTATTTTTTCTCATCATTCTTCATGATGCTTTTTTATTTTGTTTGTAAAAGTACACAGCAGTTGCTAACTTGTTGTTTCTTAGACTGTTGTACATGCACAGCAAATGGGAAGGATATCCGCATGTGGAGACATGCCATTGATTGTAAAACAATCTCTACATTAATCAAAGGAAACAATAGAGAGAAAGAAAAAAAAAATAAAAAAGAGAAATAAGTGGGAGTCTGAGGGTGTCTTCACTAACATATTTGGCTGTTATCTCTATTTTTGTTATAGATAGCTGTATGAAAACTATAGGTGTTCATGATCGTGTTTTCGATGTTAACGACAAAGTAGAAAATTCATTAGAACCAGCAGGTTAGTATGCTTAGAGAACCTCTCTGTAACCAACGCATCTACCTCTGGAAGCTTCTGCGCTGTTTTTCCTTTCTTCCTCTCTGCATGTGTGCATGCCCAGTCCTTTCTGCATTTGGCCATTGCTAGCAGCTTGCTAATATTACTTATCTCCTACCTCATCTCTCCAGTATCTTTGTGTAGTGCATGCTAGATAGAATCCAACGTTTCTTTCTTGGACATGGCTCTCATTTGACTGGGCGAAGTATTCTAACACAGAAACCCTACCAGAATACTAAAATCTCACTGCCTTTTACCGCATCCCCAGGGCGTGTCGGTGGATCCCTATGACTATAAAGGCCAGTTTTCAAACAACACAGAAACTGTTTCTGTTGTGCAGGTTTATGAGACTCTCGCTTTTTAATCGCACCCAAGTCCGTGGATAAAGTAGTAAAGACACTGCACAGAACACTGACTCAGCATCTTCAGTTATCTCTAGAAATGTGTGTGCATCAATGAAAGCAATCTAAAAAAATTGTATTTCACTTCAGTATTATTTATCCTGCTATTGACAGCCGTTGGCCTGGAGACATACAATTGTGCTGCCGCCACAAACTCACGTGTCACCTGCCACCACAAATGTACACTGCTGCTCCTTGAGCCAGGAGCAGGCAGTCCCTGAGTACGAAGTCTAAATAAGTTTTAAAGATAGTTTTTTTTTTCTACTACTGATGTTCACACTCAAACTTCCCATTCAGTGTGAACAAAGTAAAGGCCAAAGAATATTCATGTAACCACTTACAATGTTGCCTACTGTAGACAGTATAAACTGGGGCAAGCCATTTCTTTGCTTGTAAGTTTCATGAGGGTGGATGTAACCAGACCCATTGTGATGGGTAGCCGGCCTCTAGCCACTATATAGAAGCCCCTGTCTTCCTCTGGTCCATGCACCTATGTAGATCTTAACAGTTTTCCTTCTCCACCTCCCATGACCATCCTGGAGCCAAAGAGAAATAAAATCATTTTGTCCTCACAAATAGATTTAAGCCCCCCCTCCCCCTTTTGTAGTAGGACTTTTCTTTCTTACAGTTCTAGGAACTAAAGGGCTTTCCATCCACTTCATCCTCTGAGTAGTGTCATAGGAATAACGTTTGAAGAAGGCTTAGGGAAAGGTACCCTGAGTAAGCAGTGATGAGTAGATACACTTACAACAGCTGCCAGGAAGGGTTAGGAGTTAGGGTTCCCAAGCACTCCAGCTTTTTTTTTTTTTTTTCTTTTTCTTTTTGAGGCAGGCATCTCAGCCAGTTCACAAATGAGCAGGGTGTAGGAGGAGAAGCTTTCAGAAGCCTTAGTGGCTCTCCAGGGATCTGTTCCCTGCTTTAGAAGGGAACAAGAAGTGAGTACTGGCGACGTGGAGGTATTTTAATTGTGTCCTGAAAAACTGGAAGCATTCCTGTGACTTTTCAAGGTACCAGACTTCAAGCTAGAGAACATGACTACCACAGGGACAAGTTAAACAGGCGCTCCCGCAAAACCACAGAATATACATTCTGCATCCCATCGCCAAGGAACCCTGCCCAGGCCACTCAGCTTGTCAGACTTAATATCCTTAGCTCCCACTGCTAGGATAATAGGGTTAAGCTCTTCCTGCTCCTAGAGGGTTAGGTGTTCAGAGAAAACACATAACTCTCCTCGCTTCACTAGGAAGTCGTGAGTAGAATGACCAACAGGTTAAGCCTGCTGTAAACTTGCTAGGACTATAATTTTGAGATGCATTTCCCATGATCTTATTTTCTAGGTAAAGTCAATTGTCTCTCTAGCAAGGAGGAGGAAGGACCCTCTTTAGAGACATACAGGAGTCAATGGTTTTTGTTGTTTTCTGGCAATGAAGAAATACTGAGGACTATTCTGTTACTAAGAAAATCACCTCTGAATTGGACTAATGATAAAGTGGAATTGTTAAGACATAAGCATATGTCAGTGTCTTCTAAGAAAAACAAGTTCGTTCTCATACAGAACTTGGAATTTGTAGTGGCCTCAAATCTATGAACATAATACTGATGGAAGTTGGAAAAGTTTAGCAGAGTATAGTTGAGTGAGTGAGTATGTATGTGTGTGAAGAGATTGCTGGCAAGCATCCTCACTAACACGGTAAGACTGGGTTGAGCCACAGTACCTGGCAATTTGAATATGGTAACAGGCTTGAGTGTTCCCCTTTGTTTCCTAGAGAATTTAGCCAGTCACACTTGAAGTTCATTCCCACTATGGTGACTGGGATTTAACACATGCTGTCCTTTAGCCAGCCCTAGATGAACACAGAGGCTCTGGCAATCCGATCCGGTGAGCCTGCAAGGATACTACTGCATGTTCTCGGCGATGTGTACTAACTCACCTGTCTGTGGAATGCATTTGTCCTTTAGTTTGCTTGCACACTCTGCCTGCCAGTTTCCTATCTTGAGGGACGCAGGATAATCTCAGTGTAGACATACGCCCAGTTACATGCTCCGAAATACCATTAGTGTTCTCAGTCAACCGCTGAAACCACTGTGTGGTGGAACCCTGTAACTAAGGCAAGATTCAATTTGGCTTCTCTATGCAGAAGACCTCTTCCTTCCACTAGGCCACACTCACCATTACAAGGATGAATAACCTCCTATGTGCAGGTTTAATTTCAAGTGAAAATTCTGAAGTTTCCCCAAATTATCTAAATGATATCCACTTTTTCATTAGCTGCCTTGAGTAGTAGTTAATGGGGGTGGTGATTGACACACAGAATTCCCGACCAAAGACTTGTTTTCATCAAAGCAGAGCTTGTAAAATCCGGACTTATGAACATCATGTTGTAGGAACAGAAGCGTGCAGAGGATGGGTGTTCCCATCTGAGAGAAACACGGGGCAGCATGTATGGTAGGCGAATACACACGAGGTTAAAATAATGGATCGCACAGTTCACAGAAATGCTGATACGGACGTTATCGGCAATGCAAGGCTTGAGAGGTACATTCCCACTTAGGAGAACACCAAAGTCTCCCTTCTTGTTAAAGTCAGTTATGCTGCAAGCTTCCTTCCCCATGCCTTGTGCTGAGTGAGCCTGAACTAGTGGGTAACCTTTGCTGAGCCTCTGGAAGGGGTGGGTGGGAAGCAAGGAAGCCACGCTCTGCATGCTTGCCCCGATCCGGAAATGCAGCTTGGGTATATTTTAGCAACACATTTCCAAGCTTCACAAGGTGAAAGACTGAGTAATGTATTATTGAGAAAAGGGTGGAGAAGAACCCCAGTAGGTGATGTGATTTCAGGTGTATAAATATAAGTGATGTTTCAAAATGAGCCATGGAATCCTCGGGGTTTCTGGTTCTTTTATAATTAAGCCTGAAGTGCTCCATTGTTTTGATTGACACCATATTGGTGCTCTTAAGAATGTGATTTGGATTTTAATTTCAGGGCTGTTAAGGGCCTTTACTTCTGCTTCCTGTTAACTACAGATTTAATTAATGCATTAGCAAGGCTGAAAAGAGCAAAGAAAAGATGAGGGCCCGCGCGTACGGCTGCACTGTGCAGGGTTTACCTTCCAATTCTTGCTTCCTAACCTTTCCTAGTCTCCTAAGCTAAAAGCAATCTATCCAGGTTTGCTAAAGTCCAGGAAAGGAGAACAGATTAAACAAAGGGCTGTAGGGGCTCTTAGATGAAGGCCGGCTGAAACAAGAGCCCTCCGGGGCAGAAGACTTAACTCTCACATGCCTTGTTTCTTAGTTCACATGGGACAGGAATGAGACGAGCAGAAACTTCCAACAAGTGTGAGCCAAAACGAGTTTCTTTAGGACAAATAATAGAATGCGTGGCTCGCGCCTGTAAGAAAAAGTACCCTTAGTATGACGTGTGTAGTAGGTCACTATGCTGGAGGTTAAGACAATGACAATTAACCTCTTATGAGACAGCAAGTAAGTCAGGGAAGGATGTTAGGGATTGTCTTCTGGGGTCTACATAATTGAGAACAATTACTGGGGTCTCACTTGTTACTGTTCTCTCTGATTAACCGGTCAGCGAATCCCAAGTAGCAATTCTTATGTCCCCATGGGAAGTCCCCCCCGATGGTGAAATCAAATCTGCTCAGAGGCCAACTGTCAGCTCCAGAAACATGTGCAGAGGTCATCTGGGCTAAAAGCATAAGCTAGGCCAGATGGGAGGAAGGAGACAGGCTACATTAGAGAATAGCGTGGCTCATGGGCAAGCCTCCAGTCTATCTTCGGGCACTAATTACTGCAAAGTTCCCATTTCCAAGTTAAGCCTGTTAATCATGCAGATCAGGGAGGCTATCCAAAGTCAGAGGCAGCCTCGTAGAACACTTTATAGCTAAATAAAAGAGGCTTAACTCACTTAATCCATTTTATTTAGAGGAAATTTGCATCCACACTGATAATTTATGTGTCCAGCTTCAGCCTGATACAAATAAGAATAGTCAAGTTCAAGTAATTTAATCTGGGAGATGTAGGACCTGTAATGGAAATAGCGCCATAATTGATTCCTAATTGTAGGCAGCCCAGTGGGTACAGGGTTTCTGAAGTTTACTGGGTATTATATGTAGTTTATTTTAAATACTGTTGTTTTGGCATTGGATTTTTCACATTTGAAAATACATGCAGGCACCGAACAAACTGAACATTCACCGCTAATCCCGTGAAATGCCTAAAACGTAGGAAATGAGCAGCCCTGCCTGCGTAACTACTAATATGCCCACATAACTCTTCCCCCTTCCCTTCCAATATGTCTCTTTCCTCGCCCACAGCACTGCAGACCTAAAGGTACTTTTCCTATCTCAAGTTCTGTGCAAAGCGTGTCTGACTGGTAGCGCGAGCCAAAGTAGCTTATGCAGCAAATATTACACTGTATGCACAGTTTCCCCTCAGTATTAAGAGAGAGTATAAATATTGTGAAGGAAGTCCAATTTTCCCTGCCTCTCCTTTGTTTGCTGTAAATAATGAGTGATTATGCAGACATGAAAGTCAATGGTGGCACAGGGTTCATTACCCTACTTTGCAGAGGGTGGCGAGATCTGTTAACAGCAGGCTGCTGCGAGAGAGTTATTAAGGATGTGAAATCTCATTGGAATGTGTGCTTTCTATTTGAACAGATGATACCGTACATGAGTCAGCCGAGCCATCCCGCGGTGAGAACGCGGCACAAACACCAAGGATACCCAGCCGCCTTTTGGCAACCCTACTGTTCCTCCTGGCGATGCTTTTGACATTATAGCACAGCCTCTTCTCGTCACCTGTCACAGAAAACATCAGGGTCTTGGAACACCAGAGATCCACCAAACTGCTCATCCCAAGAAGGGACTTATTATTGGTTTTCTTTTTTTTTTTCTTTTTTTCTTTCTTTCTTTTTTTTTTTTTTTTTTGGCAGATGTCAGATTTTTTTGTTTGTTTTCTTTCCTTCAGCCTGATTTCTAAGCAGCAACCCGGCGGTAATGGGGGGAGGGCTAAACTAGCCACCGCCCTCCTTCGCCCCACCCAATCGCCCCCGAGCCCTGGTCCTCGTCTTCTCTCACCCCTTCCAAATTCAGTGGACTCCAAATGAAAATGCCAAATTGTCATTGTGACACCGGTGGGCCTTCACCCCCTGTGCGTTCTCTAGAACTCACCTCTGTAAGCTCAGGGTGTCGACAGTACGCAGACAAGGAAGAGTCGTGGCAGACGCTGCCAGCAATGGCCAACTGAGGGGATATCTCTCTCCTACAGTACTCATGCCTTCAAATGCAGGACAGCAAGGTGATTGTGTGGCACGCTGCGTTGGCATGTCAGGTCCAGAGGGGCGGAACTCAGAATAGACATACTATTCCACCATATCCTCTAGGAGTGTAGAAGCAAGCAGGCTTCTCAAAGGCCCAGATACTAGCTTTTGTTTTTGTTTGTTTTGTTTGTTTGTTTGTTTTTATCAAATATGACTGTCTTAAAGCGTTCTTGCCGGCAAAACTCGAGCTGTGTCCAAGAAACTTCTTCTCCCAGAAGGAGGGTTCGGTTGCAGGGATGGTAGGTTAATGCAGGAGACGTGCATATTGAGGAAACTATCTGTTGCTAGGGGTGTGAGTGCCTCTTAAGTTTTTAGTGATTGGGCAGTGCACACCTGATGGTTTTGCTTTTCCTTTGAATACAGATCTCACCATGGTGCTACAACGTTTCTTTTTCTTTTTAGGAGTTCAAAGAGGCATTTTTATGAATAAAGTGGCCTTCCCCGAGGCTGACAAGCCAGGGTTGATGAGTAGAGAGTGGAAGAGCTTTGGCTGCTCCTCTGGGGACAATATGTACAAGGAAAGGAAGTCTGTGGCCAGAGGAGATGTGATTTGGCTTTGCTGGATCTCCAGTGTGCTGTGGCCTTCCCCCAGCTCCCACCCCCGCTGCCCACGTTCTGCCCCATGATCACAGGGGACTCAGACACAAACCCCTGTCACCAGGAGAGTCAGTCAGCACTACTTGGGAGGGCTAAAGGGAAATCTGGAATAAAAATTCCAAAGTTTGAAATAAAAATTCAAGCGCTGATTTTATATTCTTTCCCTTTCTGACACAGCCTAGAGCGTAGGGGAGCATGTGTTTATCTGTGGGAGATAAACAACATGGAGTCCCAAAGACTTTGACAAAATATTTTTTTAAAAATCCACTAGAATAGAAAATACATTATTTAGATATACTTTATGCTGAGAGTGAGTATATATGCTTGTCCTATTTAAACTTGTGAGAAAAAGTGGTATCCCTCGATACATTTAGAAACGTGGGGGGGTATCTTGTTTCACATTAGGGTTGGGGCAGAAGGAGAATGAACTGAACGCAGGATGACCCTGTTTAAGGAACCTTAGCATGGCCCAGGGGGTGGTCCCAGCCGCTTACCAGGTAACACAGGCTGTGAGGTTTCTCCTGGTGGCATGTCTTGAATTTGAAATCCCAAAGCCTAGGCAGGGGAAAACGTCAGCCCAAAGGAAAGGTGGTCTAGCCTTGTTTTGCTATTGCACGACATCAATAGAATCCATGCCTTTGCAAACAAGCAAGTCAGTAAATGCAATGATCACATAATGTGGAAAATTGAAAGCATTCCAGAAAAAAAAAAAGGATTTTTTTATATATTCATTTTTAAGATGTATATGTAAAAAAAAAAAAAGAGTTCACATTGTAGATGATGGCCTTCAAGAATCGGAAATTGCTTAGAATTGTGAGTAGTTTCAAATTAGAAAAACGTGTGAGTGGAAGACAGCTGTGAATGTACTACACCCTAGAGAGTTGTACACACATTGGAATGTGAGCTGGGCTTACCTGGTTCCTTTGGAGTGGAGGCGACTGGAGTCTGTTCTCGCTTGAACCATGAGTGGGGTTGCCAGCCTCAAAGATATTGTCAGTCTTCACCCTCCAACATCGGAGACTCGTCTGGAGTGGCAGAGTGTCATCACAGAAGGCACCCACCATTTCACTGAAACAAAGCTTCAAAGCATTGAGTTCTTTTACCTTTATTTATATGCTGGACACTCTCAATAATATCCAGATATATTCTTTTTTATTAATAGTTACAGGTTTGTGGGTTCATGGGATATCAGTAAGGGAACAACAACAACCGCAAAATTCCCTTCTAAGATAGAACTGCATGTGCTACAGTCAAGGAAACCAAGTGTAATAATTCCAGTTAGTCCTAACGACGTTAGCCGTCCTAATGTCATTTTAGAGATGGTGAATTTTGTGGTTCTTCTAGCATTTGTCGCTAACAAATGATGAAATGATTACTCATGGCCCTCTCTGCCATTGTCTTTCATTTTCACTGTGCAATTAGACCCTTTTACTTCACTGTCATACCACCGCAGATTAAGTTTAAAAAAAAAAATAGCAGAACTATCCACACCAGTAGACAATATGCTTCTCTACCTGTAAGTGGCATAATTGTAGCTAATGCACTTGTGTGGAGTTTTCAAGACGATTGGTGTCAGGCAGTTTTTATCTTGTCCAAAAAGCGCTGGTGGCCTTTTGTGGTGTTGCTACAATCCTCTGTGGGCTTAGGATGTCCGTGCATCTTGGTAGTGGGTTTAATTTTAAAAACAATTCAGAAGCTTGAAGGGAAGCTCTGGAGCCCCTCTCAGCCCCAGTTGGTCAAACCCCAGCGACCTTTGCCCCTGGTTGCCAAGGGCTTTGCAACATGACGCAGGGAATAAAGATCTGTCTGTTTAGTGGATACTGTGTATCCTTTAATAGACCAGGTAACAGTCCGTGTTAGTTTTAGACTATTGTTTTGTACTGTACTTTCTTGGGTGGCAGAGGAAAGAAAAGTTAAAATGTTAAAAAAAAAAAAAAAAAACAAAAACAAAAAAAAAAACAGAAAAAAAAAACTGTGTTCTTTAATTCTGTATTATTAGCAACCTCTGTTGTATATAGTGTTTGATAATAAAGTATTAATTTGATTCTTATGTCTTTTGTAAGTGAGAACAATAGACTTTCAGGATACAAAACATGCATTGAGGCTTTGAAACATCCAGTGTATACATGGCTGAGAAATCACAGGTGACTGGAACACTGCTCCATACTGGACTTGTGTGGTCATTGTGCAATCAGTCTTACAGCTCCATCGTCTTGGGACCAGAGACAACAGCACTGCTCTGATTCATCCTTTGTCCTCAGTGTCTCCAAGGTCTGATGTCGGAGCTCTGTGGTCCTGTCCCCCACAACACGCATGTGGTTTGAAAAGGCTTAGAGGACTCTGGTTCTGTACTTTGGTTTGGTTTTCTGTTTGTCATTTTCCCCCAGGAAGTCTTGTCACTATCAAGTGCGGCTCAGACTCAGGATGGTTGCAGACCAGTCCCTAGAGGAAGGCTCAGTGTGGCTGTTCCCTCTGTGTCCTTGTGAAAGGAAGAGTCACAGTACCTGTGGGCTTTCAGGGACTCTGTTTTTCTCCTGTGCCTTAGCAACGGCTGCAGCCATTTTTATTAGCTTCACAAAAGTAGAAAACGTTTTAAACTCTTCCTTTCCATTCATTGCTCTCAGAGTTGTGGTCATCAGCTTTTCTGTTGAAAGCCACCTCCACCAACACCCAGTTTGCCTGCTCCCTCTTTCTCTTTTCTCTTGCTTTCTTCCCACATTCCGTTTTTCCCCCAGAGCCGTGAATGGGCAGGTCTGTCTCTGGTTTGGCTTCACTGAGTTTTTCCCATGCATTTGCCCCAGAGCTGCTCGGATGTGAGACAAATCTCCCTACAATGGACTCACTCCCATTGTTTGTACAGTTTAATAGATGCTGGCATGTTGGGGGTTACCCATGAGTCAAAATCCGTTTTCCATGCTTACTCTCTGACACCCATTGAAGCCACTCATTGCGTGTGCGTCTGGGTGTGAAGTCCAGCTCCGTGTGGCCCCATGCTTGTCCTCCTGCTTTGCAGTCCCCTGCACTTGCCCATCGAGTGCTGTTTTGAAATGCTGACATTATATAAACGTAAAAGAAAATGTAAAAAAAAAAAAAAAATTAAGACACACACACGTAAACCCATACAATCTGTATTTGTATATACACACGTGTCCGAACAAGTATACCTAAATAAAAATTAAAGATTTTCATCATTTTAATTGGATCCCTCCTTCTCCTTTCTTCCTTGAATGACGCCTTTATTTTAGGGACTAATTGTACTCTACTGATTTTTTTTTAAAAAAATATGAACAGGAAAGATAATATGACAGATATAAGAGAAGGTATGGGAAGGTCAAAGGATGCAGGGTTGAAAAGGGCACATTTGTTCTGATGAGAAAATGGTGCAATCTCAGCCTTGTTTGTATTCGAGCCTTAAAACAGGCAATGTGACAAGCCTTCATCCTAAGTGACGTAGGTACACCAGGAGTATACATACACATTATATTTTTACTTAACACATATTCTTCTACCCCACCAAGATAAAAGCCAAATAAACATCTCCTAGCAACCATCTGCCACCCCAGAAGATTCAGTAGAACTAATGCTCTCAGTACAGCCCAAACCTCAATTCTCTTTACCAAGTCAGAATTAACTTACATGGTGTGACCATGGCAAATCGCATGGCTTCTTTAGGACTCTTATATGGATATGGTGACATTTTAGAAGCAACTTGTTGCTATCCTTTAGCTTTTTTGCTCATTGGGCAGTGTGAAGCCCATTTGGCATCTGAGAGATATCTATTTTTGTCTTTGAGGAAGACGTTGATATGAGGGCAATTACAAAATACCATCTATAGAGTGAAACCCAGCAGATACATGACCCAGGAGACATTTCTTGTGCCTCATAACTTGAATTTAATGATCTGATATTCAGTTTGTGCTCACCGAGACCTTCCTACTATAATTATTTGGCAGGGAACTAAACACTAATA